GTGCTGTGGCGCTTCAATCTTTGGCTATGTCTTGGGCTACTCAAATATTTTACGTTTTTGATACTAAATTAACATCTGAAGTATAATTTTTTTATTATTTTTATACTTTTCAATATATTTATTTTGTTTGTACAAAATAAAAAAATAATTTTTAACGATACAATAGTCTTTGTTAGGCTTAACATCGACGAAAATTCAACGCAAAGCGACACGCAACGGAAAAAATTTCGACATCGGATACGTTAAACTATTTTTTCGTACGTAAATCAGTTATCCGAAATATCAGTTATCCGGACAACCCCAGTCCCCAATTGATTCGGAAAATCGACGCTCTACTGTATTCGTATTGGTAGAATATTGAACATTGTTTGAAGCCATTCTAGGCCATTCTAATCAGAAATCGAATTTGGAGTCACATTACATTGCTTTAGCGACATCCTAGAATCGATTGGTAAATGAATAAAATATTCAGCTTTGTATCTTTATAATGTAGATCTAGGTTTAAACTTGTGATCCTAAGCTATAATGTATAAACTATTCAACTTCACACGACTTGAATTAAAGTAAAAAAAACGTGAGACACTAAACTGTATTCTCATAATTCGAGTATAGAAATTTGGCTTCGTTTTCTCAGAACTGGATTTAAATATAATTTTATAAGCTTATATTCTAAGCTCAAATTTTATATATGAATATACAGTAATTATGTTTACTGTTTTTGAGTCATGTTTATCAAGTTTTACTCTATGTTTTACAACCGTAGCGTTTCCAACTATTCTGAATTTCCAAACTCTATGGAATTTCCGTTAGATTTGAAAAATTGTTCAGAAATGTTCTGAAAAATAAACGAAGAGTTTTAGCTTGTTTGATTTTCCTCATTAGAAGTTGGCATTTCTAACTGTAATCAGAATTGTTTTCATACCCGCTAGTTTTTGAGAGGGGGTCTGTTTTATTCTTCTCTGTTAGGTTTTAAGGAGGTCTTTTCCAAGAGCACAATGGATTCGGCCAGGCGCGCAATGGGAGAGAAAGAGTGGCGAGGAACAAGTATCTGATATATCCGGAACGAACCGCCCATGAAAAGTTCCTGGGGTTGCTCGTCTGGATCTTTAGTCCCCAAAGCTGATGCCATACCGCCTTGGCCATCTGGCTGTCTCATCATCAACAACGGAAAGAATGTTCTCAAGTTTAATTGTAGGTTTTGCTAATCGCTTTTTCGAGTTGATAGTTCTCCCACACTATTCGAAATATGACTGTAGTTGGCAACTGTAGCAAGTGATTATTTTAGATCTACCATATTTGAAATTTTTCCTTGCTTAATAATAAATTTTTCTTTTAATAAACTTAATTGAAAGTTTAATAATGATTAACCAATTCAATTGGTATGGGTTAATAATAAATTTCTTAAAAATTTAATGATTAAATTCAAAATTATTTAAATAGTTTAATTTTTAATTAAGTACAGTATATTAATGATTACAAATTAAAATTGCCAAAATCCGATTTTATTGATTTATTACTGAATACAGTAGTCCAATTGAACCCAACATTAAATACCAGTAACACAAAGCAGTAACACAATATAAAATAAATAAATAACAAGCAATAAAACACCGACAAAAAGAATTAAACACGAATTAAATATAAATGTATAAGAACTGCTCGTTGCAACTGAATTTAGTTCATCGTGGCATATGACGTCATCTACAAAGGCTCGGTTATTTGTTTAAGTAAAAAATAAAAAAAGTAACGTATTATCTTTTTCAATAGCCTTATTTACTGAAGCAATAATTTAAAGATAATGATATTTAATTCGCATAATTAATCACTTTTGATCACACTCAATCATTAACAATTTTGTTTACAGAACGATAAGCCCTCTGGTGTTTGGTATATAAAAACAAAACAAAAAATTACTAAGTAATGAATGTACTTAATAAATTATATTAAACTAAATTAATATATTTTTTTCAAATTATATTTTGATAAAATTAAATAAAAATATTAATAAATTGCGGTGTGTTGATAAATTCCATTTACTGTTAATATTGAAAAAATTGTTAGTTCAACTTCGTAGACTGAATACGTTTTCAACGTATATGAAAATAAATATGAATTTCTAGAATTTATTCGATTTTTTCTGTTATTTTATTCACCAACAGCGAGATGATGAAATATTGCCTGTTGTTTTTTCCTTCTGAGATGATTTTTCTTCTTTCTTCAATTCTATGGTATTGATCCTCGAAAGAACAAGTAACAAAAATTATTATTATTATTTTACCAAATTTAATATTTATAGTTGTCGAAAAGTATTATAAAAATGAACTAAATTTATACACATTTTTTAGCAAAATTCAATTTAAATAAAAGGAATAACATAGAGTTTATCTATCGCATAAAGAAAATAGAGAAATTATCTCATAAAGGCATAGGTATGTGTTATGCAATTAGTGACTAAAAAAAACCGCTGAAACTTTTCGGAGATGTTCGCTCAAAATATGTTGGATCTTGTCCCTCACCACCCGGACGCCCCAATGTGGGCGATTCGAACGCACAATGGAGTTGCTAAAAAGACCCTATTAGTGTCCACAGCGAGGACAGTTAAAATATTCAGATGTACGGATTTGATATGGCTTTAGGCGTCACAGAACACGCTGTTATTACAGTATTACATTTTATGATAGGTAAACGATACAGTTGTTGGCTAACAGATAGTAATTGACATTCTCGAAATTAAACCTCTTTAATGAAATCTAAAAAAGCTATTCTGAAAATATTGCATGGCAATAATGATAAAAATTTCTATTGTTAGTACGTAGCAAAAAATTCCACTGGTTTTATTGTCGTTGCATGTGGCCAATAACTATACAGTTTTATATCTCCGTAAAACAAGACACATTCTGGATTAAACCAGGTGTGTCAAACTCATTTAAACAACGGGCCATTAATGCGACTGGTAAGATTCACGCGGGTCACATCACATTTACAAATTTTCTTAAAATTATAATTTGAAGTGAGAATGCAGGAATATAGATAGAGCAATTAAAACACATTATGTAGTTCTGTGAATTCAACTCAATAATATATAATTGATATAGTATTGCTTTTATTTAATGTACTGTACATATTTATAAAACTAAAATTAATTGTTTTCACCGGAAACTTTCCAGCGCTATCTTCCTCCTCCTAGTTTTCAAATATCTGGATTCATAGTTTTTAAAAGAAAAAATGTTCTTAAACAAATTAAGTAAAATTATCACTGATACAATATAATTAACTTTAATTTTAAGATAGACAATAGGAAAATTTTAATAGAGTAAAAATTATAGAATATATTTAAATTGTATTCCTGGAGTGTAAACAATACCTTATCAAAATAATTACAATTGAGAAGTAATTTGAGTTGTTCAAATCGTACATGTTGTGCAGAATTTTATACAGTAGACACTCTATAACACGGTAGATAATTCCGTATTATATGAATTCTGTATTGTACGAGTCACTTAGTTTTTACAAATACGTGTGCCGGGCTGTGAGCGGTCACGTATTTGTAAAATCTAAGTGACTCGTACAACACGGAATTCATATAACACGGAATTATCTACCGTGTTATAGGGAGGTCTACTGGTTCACTTTATCTATATATATAAAAATGAATGTATGTGTATGTGTGTGTGTCTCTGTCTGTCCTTTATGCATTACCACACCGTTTATCCGATTGCCGTGAAACTTTGGGAAGTTGTTTAATATACTCCGGCGAAGGTTTGTGGCATAGTACGATTGCCATAAAACTTTTGGAAAGATTTTTAATTCACTCCCACGAAGTACATTTATCCTACGATAGATGGCGCGCGTTTACACGAGCATTCGCGCACAGTGTGTTCAATCGATTTCAAATTGTGAAGACCATTTCCCCCCTTCAAAAAATATCTCTATATATGCATTTGTGAACTGTTATTTACGATATTTGTAATAATTTTTGTTTAATCACTTTATTTCAACTTTTTTTTGCTAATTATGTATTCGCTCGAACTTTGTTAAAACCTTAACTGTATCCCGAACAACAACCGAAGTTGTAGAAGGAAATTCGCCTATTTTACCGATCTAGGGATCCCCCTTTTCCAAATTTTAATATCGACTCAAAATAATTTAAAAAGACAAATTACAATAAAACGGTTTATTATCCAACTATCAGAAATTTCACAACATGCCAAGGAAGAGAGGAAGGAGCAATTAAATAATTAAAATTATAAAGGATTTAAAAATATATATAAAAATGGGGAATATCGCACTTCTGACAATCGCTGCGAGTGTATGGGCTAAATTTGTAGAATTCGTGCTTCTCACATGGACAACTGTATGTGGACGGCTCACGCGTCGGAAAACCTTCTGATTTATTCGTGTACGCACCAGACGGAAAAACAAAAAATATCGTGTATCCACAAACACTCCAATAAATAAATAGAATTGAAACGACACTTTGAAATGTTTTCCCGATGAAAATTAATAATAATAATAAGTTTCAATAAAAATGATAAAATGTAAATTGAATTTTATCATAACGAGTTTGCTTGAATTTCCTTTCTTCTGAGATCGCAGCAATGCGCGACAGGTAAGCTAGTTTGACTATAAAATAAAACCAAAGAAAGGATGTACGGAAAATTACATAATGACAGAATTTTATAATTTATTTAAAATGACGTAAAATTCAAAGCGTATTATCAACGCGATACGGTTAGACACAACCAATCAGACTCGTCCGTTTCTATTTTCACTCTAGAAATGTATTTCTAGAGCGAAAGAGATCTACAATCGATCAGCCATTTTAAAACATAAATTTAAACTTTTGGCTATATTTTATAATTTTTTACATCGTTTCAATTTTTGAACAATAAATATACACGCATTTTTACACAGTACTGTACTGTACATGTATTTTGATCAGTACAGCAGTATCTTTATTTTCGTATATAGTTTTCTCGAGTGTTCACAGATGGCGCTAACCGAGTACAAATTGTCTATTAGTTTAAAGACAATGGCGGTCTGTGAGGTGTGGTGTACGTTTTTATGAGCTGCGATCGTTTAAATATTTTTTAATTAATAAAATATGGCGAAATTGTTGGTATTGCCAAAAGCTTTTTCTTCCATCCAAACGGTAAATGCCGAAGAATTAGAAAATTTGTCGGAGAAGGAAATTCGACCATTGCTCCCGTGTTTAGTGCGAATGGCATTATGTTCTCCTCTGGATCAAAGCAGCGAATGGTCGTCGAAAAGAAAAATCATTTTGAGACTCTTATCGGGAATTGAATTGGTAAATCATGTGGTTGGTTTACTCTCCATTGACTTTCATGGTTTGGAGATTGATGTCAAGAAGGAACAACAGCTCAGGTAGACATTGTTTATAGACCTATTTACGAGGGCAGGCTGAAAAGTAATGCACACATGCTTGTAGAACACGAACAAAAACAAATAACAAGATCGGGCAAAAAGTACATTAAAGTACAATTCTTAAGCTTCAATATCATATATTTATTTTTCAACATAGCCTTAATGATGACTAACACATTTCTCCCAATGTGTAACAAGTTTTTTCATTCCGTCACTGAAAAATTCTTCCGGCTTTTCTCGAATCCAGGACTTGACAGCTGCCTTCACCTCATCATCCGAGGTGTAATGATTACCCTTGAGGTCTCTCTTAAGTAGAGGAAACAAATAAAAATCACAAGGTGCAAGATTGGGGGAATAAGGAGGGTGTGGAATCAGTTCAAACTTCTGGTTTCGCAGAGCCTCTCCAGTTGCGCGCGAGATGTGTGGACAAGCGTTGTCATGTTGCAAGATTATTGGTGCCAGGCTGCCTCTAACATGTCAAACTCAACATCAGAGATGTTTTAGAGTCTGTATGTACTGAGAAGAATTAAACATTGCAACAAGGTGCAACAGTAATTGTCTGTGGCAGTGATTGGACTTCCACAATTATGGCTTTTCCAGACTTGCAACCACGAAATTTTATTATCCATCAATTTACAATAGACCTATCAACAGCATCGTCACCATAAACAGCCTTTAAACGTAATTTTTTCAGCAGTTAAAAATTCGATAACATATCCGAACTCTCAATAAAGCGAACTCTGCTCTGCCCCGCAAAATGGCATCACAGGGATTATTTTGCCCGTTACCATATTTATAATTTTTATTCCTTCAAATATTAATGTCTCTATCAGTTAGAGTATATCGTTGAAGTTGCTGGAAGAGCAACATATAATATCAATATGAAACCGTTTTCTAGGAATTATCACATCCACAGATTCCAAAAATACTAGCCAATCGACAACTTTATTTTACTCAAGGGTAAAATAAAGTTGTTGATTGGCTAGTCGAATTGTTTGAAAACCGAATGGAAGCGAAAACATAAATTATGTGTATAAGAGCGGTTTGCCGAGGCCGTCATTATACTGTATCGGGCCTGGCACTAAAGTAACAGGGTGAGTCTGAAAGTTTAATTTCTGTGCCGAACTTGAAAAACGAAAAAATTTATTAAATTTATTTTGAAACAAATTATACTTTATACCTGAAATTTTTAAGTAAATAAAGAAAAACAAACAATTATATTTGTGCGTATAAAAAGCTAGCATTTTTATACCAGTAAATACATTGTTTGTACACAAAAATCTGAATTCGTGTACAAACAATATATTTACTGGTAGAAATTATATATTCTGGTATAAATAAATTAGTCTATGTGTTGCTAGTAAAAATTATGTATTTACATAATTTATAATGTACAGTAGATTATTGCAATTCATTATTACTTTAAAATCTGGCTTATAAAATTTCAGTTAATTCAAATTATATGTTATAAACAGTTCAAATTGAAACATTTTGATGTTTTAATGGAAAAAATGAATATATAACATAAATTTTACATTAATATTGCAAAATTAGTAGAAATTACATTTAGGGTTCAATTCATGTGGAAGTTAAAAGCGTTGATAATTTTCTTTTATTTATTTTATTATTATTATTTTTTCCTGTCGGTTTTCGCTTTTACACTATTTATTTTACAAAAGTAATCAATGTTCAATTACGGCTTCTAATGACAAACATAAACAAAAATTGTGGAAATACTTTTTGTTAAATTTTTAAATGTTTTGCAATTTTACTTGCATTTTTTCAAGAGGAAGAATTTAAATTTTTAAATAAAACTCTCTTGCGAGTCGTATCAAAATAAACTTATAATTCTTACATTTTAAAGAAAGATCTTCAAATTTGTTAACCACCTAATATTTCACATATGAAACAGGGTAACTACAATTTTCAATATAATCTTTTCGGCCACTTAGAACCTCTTCTATCTATTAGACCTCTCTATCTAATGGGTTTAAAATCAATAAACCTTACTATTATACTTTATAATTTCAACCTCAAAATAGTCAAATATTAAATTGTCTTCATTTAATAAACAATTCATTAGCAACTTAACCGAATTAAATGATTTATAATAATGGATAGATACACATTTTATTAAGTTTATTAATATTTTAAGCAAAGCATTATTTTATAAAACTTCAAATTATAATATGATTTATCATTTTAATTATTGATGACATACGGCAATTAAAATTTAGCATAACTTCAAATTACGTTACATTCAATAAATTTATTGTGTTTATTTTAATAGAGCAAGAATTATCACAATGAATATTTTTACATCGTTTAGAAGCATTAACTATTTTTATATACTGTACTGTACAGTAGGGTCCGTATACGCGACCAGCACGTTCTCGCTCAAGCAGAAATTCGAATAAAGTATCAAACGCCATTAATTATTAAGTATTTCTTTATAATACTACTAGCTGCAAGGACCCCCTTCNAAATTAATCCGTTCCGAAACTGAGATCGTATCATGAAAATGTCGTAAGGTGAATCATCTTTTCCCATACGATTACATGTAAAACCAAATAATTCGTCCCAACGCGAAAAACATACTCAAATTAAAGCCAAGTAATACATTAAAAAAATAACTGTAGTAAGAAAAACAAATAAAAAATGCGAACTAATGTAACGTCATATGGTGAGTTTTTGTTCGTATCGTGGAGCAAAACTATGTTCGAATTTCATGTCGTATCCTGAAAATTTCGTATGCTGGGGCGTTCGTAACCTGAGGTACCACTGTATAACAAACATCTGTAGTTTGATAACCTATTGAGATTTGGTCATTCAGATTTATGGGTTTGTCTACATGTATCTCCTTATTTGAAACGAAATATCCATACTGTAAAAATTTCACTATAATTGAATTGTATGTTGACATTTTTCTTGTTGAAAGTGATCAGCTAATCAGTGTATTGACCTTTTTCATTTCATAATACTTAGAAATGGTAAACAAGAGAGAACTAAAAATAGAGAAAAAGCAGAACAGTTCAGACAACAGTTTGAACTTACTGGATTCAAAGCAAACAGTAGGAGTCTGGATTAATTTAAGTGGCATGGAATAGTTTTCAATACGGTTTGTGGTGAAAATGCAGAGGGTACATTCATCAGGACCAATAACCTGTTCTGATATCACAACAATTGAATAAAAATACTTTGTAATCTCCAGCAATAAATTTGGTAAAACAAAAATATTTTTGATCTAAATTGATGAATCTGGTTCAGTTGTCAATCTAAACAAATAGAACGATTCTGTTTCAATACATTCAAGATTTAAAAAAGGAAATTAATATATTGGTTGAATGTGATTTAATGTCTATGAACAATAACGTAAAAATTACACTGAAATTCTTATAAAATATCAACACAATGTAAAAGTGGTAAATAAAATTAATGCATGAATATATATTTGAGAGGGAGGCTTTAAAGGTTAAATTTTATGTGGTGACTTCTGTGTAATTGATAAGAAATTTGCATTATGTGCACTATAATAATTAATGATCTGAAACCAGAATATTCAAAACACAGACAAAAACACTTGAATCAGCTTATATATGCTGGTACAGGTGTTTTGTTTGTTTTGAATTAGGGTGATATGGTATTTGCAGTGTATTGCCACTACATGCCTTGCAATGTAAATATAACTTAGGCTTACTTTATGTATTTTTTAAATTTATTTGAAACAGTTGCTTACTTTTTGCATATCTATTGCATATATATCTTTAGTTTAACAACATCATAGGTTTCAATAAATTTTTAGACTTATATTAGTTTGAAAATATACCAGCTTTCAGGATGTCTAGATTTTTGTGATGTTTCACACTCTTATAGCTTTGATCCAGAAAGAATTGAATGATGCTTTAGAATGTGTTGTCAGGATATTGATAGGAAAAAGAGAAGAGCCAGAAGAGACTGATTGGGGAGATTGTAGAAGATAATCAGGACAGTGAGTCCAAATAATTGGCTAATTAGACAATGACTTTTTTATAGATGACAAGAATAGTAAAACAAAATTCATCTGTCAAGAATGTGTAAAAATGTCTTCAAGAAACAGTCATATAATTTTTTTTTTTGATTCACTAACACAAGGTGTGTTTCTATTTCAATACTTGGCGGTATTCCATCTTTATTTAATTGATCAACTAAATAAAGATGGAATACCACCAAGTGTTGAAATAGAAACACACCTTGTGTTAGTGAATCAAAGAAATTAAGACAACATGGTTTCAGAAGATTTAAAAAGTCGTATAATTATTAAATGTGCCACGTGTGAAGTGGAACAACACTGAGATGGTGTGATCTATTTTTAATTATTTAGATGCCTTATAATTACATTTTTTCAATAAAAAGTTTTAAGATTAATTCCTTCTTTTATTTTAATAATAATAAAAAAAATAATAAACTATTGGAGGATATAAAGCAATATTATGGATTTGGTGTAATAGTTGCAAAGATCTTTCTCACAAAACTCTAAAAGACATGCTTACTGAAGGGCAAAATCCAAAGAAATTTTCAGACAATCTTTATTTGATACAATATCAAAAATTTTAATTTTTTAACTTCTGACTTTAAATCTAGTTTGGTATTATTTTGTGTTTTTTTAACGAGATATATTCTAGTATCATTCATGTATTGATTATAAGTCTTTTAGCATATTTATTAAAGAAACACTCAAATGTAAGTTAATTCAAATTGTTTTTCTCAAAACAATAAATTTTTAGAAAACTTAAATACTTTTGATCTGTGTGCATATTGTCAATACTCAACTGGAGAAGAATTTCTTAATTCTAACAATGGTCATATAATCAAAATCACTCAAGTTTTCTAAAAAGTTATTGCTCCAAAGAAAGTAGTTTGAATTGGATATATCTTTCTTTTATTATAAGATCAGTGAGTAGGACATGAATTTTAGATGTTTTTTGTCTTTTATTGCCAAATTTATCTGAAAACATAATTGA